GTCGGAAATGGAGGACGATTGCATTTATTCACATAGCAGAGTAGTGACAGAAGGCCGGAAACCAAACCGGTCAAGTTGGTAATAATTAAAGCATCCTCCAGGTAACAGCTCCAGCTGGTCGGTCCGTTGTCACCCTGACAGAGCAACGAGCTGTAGTCGAATGGTACACAAGGTCTTCATCCAGTTTAGATTTAATCGAGAGTGAAACTATTCCACTATCGGCACATAAACGAAGATAATTATTTTTCTGTGTGTCTTGTTAAATACGCGTAGGTTACACAGAACATTCGAACAAATCGCATAGAATTTAGTGACAGTGATATTTTTTGTACGTACAATTAACTCCATGGACCAGAGTTCTTCTGAACCTGAAACTCGCGTATGTGGTTAAGGAATTCTTTACCTTTTCCAAATGCTCCCTTCCACTCAAGGTGTTCTGATAATATTTTCTTTTTGTTTCTTATTGTTCCTACGCCTTTTGTGGTTTTCCGCAGTGCCTCCATATAAATTCTTCTAACCTTTGGTTATAACTATCTTCGACGCTATACAACCAATGTAATTGATAAAGTGTCATGAACTACGCGCAATGATACCCATTTAGTACGCGTCCTATGAGCGTAGAGACTTCTGATACTCCGTCCGAGGTATCCTATGGATTACATTATAATGCCGGGGCAGAATTAGGACGGCACCGGTTGGACACCTAAGGTTATTAAATAAAAGAAAAACACAATTGTCACTGACAAGCGAACTACGAACTACGCAACTTATGTAGGTTATTGCTGAACGAAATGACTGAAGTTTGCATAATAGATTTTGAGGTTTTTATGGCGGTGAGTACGAAGATGGATGTCGTCTGGTTTGCAGCTCCGTGTAGTCAGGTAGAAGTTTTCCGACGTTTCAGAGATGCTTCCTGCCTCCGTCGTCTCATCGCCGTGATGGTGGAGGCAGCAAGGACCTCTGAAACGTCGGAAAACTTCTACCTGACTACACGTAGCTGCAACTCAGAAGACAGTCACCAACGAAAGTTTACGGTTTATAAGGCAATAAGAACTACCGAATTAGTCAACTTTATTTGGTATAAGTCGGAAACATTTTGAAAGTCTTCTTCTATCTGTATAAACAAGTGTTTGTTAGTTGTTTGGTTCTTATGATTATTTCATGCTAAGGAATTTGGGGTCATATGGGATAATGTTCATGAATGCGTGTGTTGTTATAGCCGTTACCATTGTAATTCTATTAAGAGAATTTGGTTCTTGTAGGGTACTTTTTAAGGCGCGTTGGTGCTGTGGTCGCATACTGGGATCATGTGCTTGGGGTCATGGGATAAATCCCAGTTAAGTTAAAACCTTTTGCCGATCACGGTGGTCGCTTCTAATGGAGCGCGTGTTGAGCTGTCCTGTTTCGGCAGAGGCCTTGCGACGGGCTCATCATTCGTCCAAGGAGTCCTACCAGAAATCTAAATAGATTAAGAAACCTCCCATATGTGAGGAGGCCAAGGTCCTTCGAGGACTGTAGAGCCACTGCTATTAATAATAAAAAGGATAATATTTATGACTGTGTCTTTACTACTTTTGATTTTACCGTCATACTTGGTAGGCAATTTAGTACTTTATTTTATGATCCGAATTACGAAGAAGGAAGGGCATATATAGTTTAAGGGTTACAATATTTAATTTTGAAAATCTCTTTCCTTGATTTTAGAAACTGGAGTAGGATGAGAACCCAAGTCCTTAACATAAAACAAGCCGCCTGTGAGTTTCCTTAACCGTCTAGTTAGACCAGGCGTCTGCCGCGCACATGCCTTCAGAAAGTGTTCTAAAAACCACAGGATGGTGCAGTGGAAGAATCAGCAGAAAGCGACGTGCTTGTTAATGATATTCTTTTTCAAGGAGCACAGACCAATTAAGAGACACAGCTGCTGCTATGTACAAGCAAGCTAATGAGGCAGGGGGGCAGTGGCTTGTGATCAGTGCGTGGTAGCACGTGATTCAGAAAACTCAACGACCAATATCACTAATTCAAACCTGCCTGTTAATATTTTATTTCACTTTGCTTCGATTGTATTTCTGTAAATATCAATTTCCCCCTCAGTCGAGGTTTGTGTTGTTTTAAAGCAGAACTCACCGAACGTCGTGGTAGAATTGTTTGTGCTCCTGCCTCGTATTCGGCAGGTCTCGGGTTCAGATCTCAGCCTGGACACCGGTTATCCGAACTGAGGCTTTTTGTGGTTTTCTCGGGCCCTCCTGTCCTCGACCTCCTCCTGTTTGCTGTTCTTGTCCAGAAGTATTCTAGTGAGAACTGTTTGAAGTGTCATTTAGAGGCTTGGGACGAAGTTCCTCGCCGTAAGGTATTTGCAGTTAAATTAGGTTTTAATTGACGGTGGTTATAATGATTCAATTATTCAACTAAATTCCATTTTTTTATTTGAATGCGCCAACTCAACAGCAGATACGGGAATGAACTACAAAGTCAGTACAAGAACATAAAAAAACAATACATAAAATAAACATAGTAAAAGTTGAACTTTTCTTTGTAGGTTGACTATACGTCTTCTTATTTAAAAAACTGTCGCCACTGGTAGCAAATTTTGGAATTATTTCTTCTTGAATTTTTGCATTTATCGCCTCCAGTTTTAGTTTTCTTGCCACCAAGTATGTAGTTTTCAATCTGCTTCTCCTTGATTGTGATATTCTAGATTATGACGACGTGTACAGGGTGGGTAGGAAGTAAGTAGGCATTGAGAAATGGTTATAAGCGATTATTTAATGCCTACTTACTTCCCACCCACCCTATAGTCTGTTCAGAAGTTACAGACATTTCGAGAACGTTCGAACCACCTGTAGAACCGCACAAAAATGTGGACCACAATCAACATCTTCAGCACCTGATAATCTCTTATCGCAGTTTGAATCTTATTTCTTAATTTTGTACGCACTCTGACTACCATGTTACTGCAGTTTCGAAGTAATAAATGTCTGGAGACTGGAGAAAACTGCATAATGAGGAGCTCCATAATTTGTTCTTTACCTAGTACTGCTAGGACGGGACATGCAGTGCGCGTGACTTAAAACATACGTACAAAATTTTGTTGAAGAACCTCAAGGAATGAGACCAGTAGGAAGTTGACTGTTGATAAAATGGAGCGTCCCAGTCAGTACACTGACTTGCTGTGAACTGAATGACTGGGATTTTCATCCAGTCAGTGGAAGCAACGAGTGATGTTCATTCTCGTTCTTGTGGGGCGCTTATTAGAATCCCTCCGTCCGTCTGTACGCATGTGACCACGCCCCACAAGCGTGGGGCTTTTATGGACCGATTATTAGATTCAAGAGTGAATATAATTTTGCTGTGGAATGTTAACAGTAGCCCTTTCCGAAGAATCTTACGACATTAAAGGTATCTCTGAGATATCTTAATATTATAGAGGTCTAATTCTAAGAAAAAAAAAATAAAGAAAAGGATTCTATTGACATTACGCTGAGATCCACCACTGGACACTACACTTCATCGCCACTGGACGGAAATGTGGCGACGCGATAAAGCGAAGGGGCGGGGGAAAGAACTGAGGACTGCGGTGGTGATTTACACATATCTCGGCGGGCGAGAGGAGTAAAGACGCAATCTGGAACAGGAACATTCAAATGGGCCCAATTTAGTCACTGAAAGTCGACCTAATTGACGGCTAAGTTTCCTTTTCAGATAAGACATAACTGTTGTTCTGGCATTGTTTCTGTTCTGTTGTACGTAATTAAAAGTGTGTCAGGGCAAGGGCGGGGCAATTGCCCCGGGCTTAATTATACTCGTCGACCACAGTCAATAGATTCCGTTAAATGAAAGAGACCCATGCTGGTAGATCTGTATTTTGAATAGTCTTGTTAAACTGCTACTCAGCACGTGGGCTGTATTCAGATTACTCTGATTGAAATGAACAGTCCAACCTGGTGCGTTTTAGTTATCACACCATGAGAACTTCGGGGGCATGGAGGAAAACTCCAGTCATTTCTGACGTCGTTACTATGTGTCACTTTACTCCGGAGTAAATAACCCCCTGTACTTACTGAGTGAGTCCCAGAACTGGTCTGGACGCGGTAGGTAGAAGAAACATCTTTCGCCCCTGCCGGGTATCGAACTCCTGTCTACCAGTCCATTTCGTAGTCACCGGTGTCTTCCATTCAAGTTTCCAACTAAAATTTTGCATGATTTTCCCATCTTTCCCATGCATGCCACGTGTCCTGCATATGTCATCCTCTTTGATTCGGACATCCTAACGCTGTTGAAGTATGTGAAGAATAGTAATTGTGAATACGAAGATGGCTGCCTTCTGGATTGTAGGGCCATGTGTTCTGGTAGAAGTTTATCGGTTTGGAGGTCGTGGTAAACTTATACCACTCTACACGTAGCTACTTCCCAGAAGACAGCCATGTTTTTAATAAGTCTTGTCTGAGCCATTAATGGTGGGCCTATGTTACGACGTATCGAAATTCGTGTCCAAGTATCATGTTGAACACTGTCATTTCATAGGCTATAAGCAACACTACGAGAACTGGTTCCACATCCCTCTTTAGGTATTTGGCTGTAATTATCTTGTCAAGTACTTTAAACTGCCAGTAGAAACCAAAGTTTTAAGGGAAGATACTGCATAAGTCTTTATGACTGGATATGTTTGTTCTTGAAGATTTCTGTCTTCTGAGTTGTTGCGCTGTGTAGTCTAGTAGATGAATCGCCCTGATGACGGAGGCAGTATGACCTCCGAAACGTTGGTTGACATCGACCAGACTACACAGCGCAACAACCCAGAAGACAGAAATCTTCATACTCACCGCCCTGATGACGGAGGCAGTGTGACCTCTGAAACGTTGGTTAACATCGACCAGACTACACAGCGCAACAACCCAGAAGACAGAAATCTTCATACTCACCGCTGTGAGAACCTCAAATCATACATGCTTGTTCTTATTTTGTTATTACTGACAGCTCTTGAGGTCGAACCTGGGATCTTTTAAATGCTCTAAGTCACTTCTGTAAACGATGTGTGTATAATATGCCTCAGACAGTGGACAACGCAAAATTAACATTCGCATAATGAATCCACTATTGCCACAGCCCATCAGAGAGAAAATCTTTCTCAATATCATGTTCTTTGAGTACAATTTACTATGTTTCGCTGAGGTTCGAAAAGCAATTTGTACCAAGAAATTATCCTTGTCCGAGAGGACTAGAAATATCGTGTACCCATTGGCCGGATGTTGGAAGGGAAGCCCTATCCGACCAGACCGGATGTTTTTATCAAATATGAGTTTAGGTTACCGCAAAGGCGAGAGAATTGCATTGAACAAACATCAGCAGCGGACTGCACTTGGAGTACTGCCTGTGAAACGTCCATTTTATTACTGAACAATATGGTGAGTAAAATGTGTCTTACATCACGTGCAAGAAAGTACATTCACAAACACATACAGCCTACACACGTACCCGGAAAGATGAAAACACATTTTAATGTGGAATATTAACCCTGTTATCGGTATCCATGTGTTGTGTTCACGAGAGGAACCTAGTGTGGTTTACACTTAATAGATGGCACCACAATATCTTTTCACATAATTCAGATACGCAAAATGGCTAAGGTGTAGTTTATTTAAATGCGTTTAGATTCATTGTCGTTTGATGCTCGACTGATTTTACAGTAATGATGTGAATGAGGAGGCTAGGGCTCGATTTTGGGCTGTTACGCCATACTAGTAATAGTATTAGATGTGAATGAATCGCATTCACGAGGTAACGAGGTTATGTCACACAAATGGCTTTCATACCTTACCCACAGTGTCGAGACAGTAAACCACCTTAAGGTACTCGTAGGTCTAGTTAGTTTCTTTCAACAGTCTATCCATTTAATCGCTGGTCATCATTCCACCACACCTCATTTGTATTTGCATGATTTCATCAAGTGAAATGCGAATAACGAACCCAACAACGTGATGGTGTGTCATGTAATCAAAACTTTGTTTAACGACAGGGCCTGGGATGGCCACAACTCCTCAAGAAGAACGAGAGGTCGAGCAGTGGTGGAGTGGCGGCAGACAGCGCGTCAGAACTCAGGAAGATCCTGAGGAACATTCTGGAGTGTCCAGTGTGTTACGAGTTGCTGCGACCGCCAGTCCTTCAGTGCCTCAACGGCCACAGTCTTTGCGGCAACTGCATGGCGCGCCTGAATGGCAGCACCTGTCCCATCTGTCGGGGCAAGATGGAGGGCTCGCGCAACCTGGTGGCCGAAGAGCTGTGCCTCCAGATCTGGTATCCGTGTCGACACACTCGCTGCTCTGAGAGTTTCGTATTACGGGACCTGGACACTCACGAAGCCACTTGCGCGTTTCGCCTGTATCGCTGCCCACTCGTTACGTCGTGGCGGTCCGACGGCTCCGTGAGGGTGTGCGCGTGGACCATGCCTTGGTGTGAGGCACTGTGCCACGCTCGGCAAGAGCATGGTAACCAGGTGTGGCGCGGACGGAAACACCACGTCATCGATTACAACTTTACCAGTGCTTTCCAAAGGCTTTACCTCATTTCTGCATACGAAGAACTGTTTCTTTGGTGTGGTCAGTACAGGCCAAGGGAAAAGAAGTTTTTTGGCGCCTTGAGATTTGAGGGATCTGTGAACAAAGCATCGCAGTTCAGATATATATTCAAGATTTCCAAGTGTATGAGAAGGGAGACGTTAAAAGTGGTATGCCCTGTCCGTTCTACACCTTTTGAGGATATTTTCAGAAATGAAGGCTGCTGTGTGATATTAGATTTGCAAACCATAAAAAGATTTTCAGACGGTGACAAAATGTCGTTCTTTCTTAAAATTGACGCGCAATCTGACACGAGGAAATAACATTTATTCACGAGTTTTTAAATATAATTCATTTCCTTCAAAGCAATAAACTGAAATTCGTTGTTATGAAAACGCATCTAACTTGTAGGATTTAGCGCAGAAATAAAAGAAATGAATGAGTACAGTTGTGACGCGTGGAACATGTAGGCCTATCTGCGTGTATCGGAAAGAATTCATCGGCAGCCCGCTGTTGGATCTGAGTTCTTTTTGACCGTTGTTGGAGCTGGCCTGAATAAAATCTATTTCGAAGACTGTTTATGAGGAGTACCACTATCTAGCACCCGTCCTGGGTAATGTGGATGGTCGGAAATGAAGTACCTTCTAACATCATTATCTCTTTAAAACTTACGAAAACGAGGAATTATTTTTTTACAAGATGATATTAATTTAAGAGCTATTGTATTCTCCACGTGTCTGTACGTAGTGTGGTTTGCTCTCATCGGCGCCGTATTATGTGACCCTACCCAACAAAGTACCCAGTGACAGGTCTCTCCACATAATCATACCAAGTTTCGTGATGAAGTGCAAACTCTTCAACTAGAAAGAAATGCGTTGGTTATTATGAACCACAGGGTTGCTTTGCTGTATCTCAGTATAACCACATTACTGCTTGCATTTCTTCCTACCTGGAATGAAAATTTTGCTGTCTCATCCCAGTTTCAGGTGGTAGCTGTGTTGTTATTTTCGGGTCGCTTTTGTAACCATATCTAGATGATGTGCTCATGTGACGATGAGAAGTCTAGGTAAATTAATTGTGACGTGCGTTTAGAGCTGTTTCAAATATTGATGCGATGAGATTGTAGCTTTCACGGCAACTGAATGCATTGAAGTCTTTTCGGACGATCAGCCACGTAAGTATGGAGTTACATTAACGTTTCGGAGGTTTTTTGTGTCTCCATCATCAGGAAGACTTCTACTCTATCTGCCCAGGTCTGACAAGGGGCTAACTGAACAAAGAGCTAACAGGCTTCTTATCCTGTTTCATATTTTTTAACTTGAAGACGGAAGCAAATTCCAGCTCCTGGAGCGTAGTAGTTTCATTATTCCATAATTTAGATGATGGAAAAAGTCCAAAAGAACAATTTTACGTATTATTACGCACAGTTGACAGAAACGTTCAGACTTCGACAAAGTTGGATACCTCATGTGGATAAATGGCAGATGATAGGATAACCAATATGATTATGCAGTAGGCTATAAAATAAAATGGCGTCGAGACCGAAGCACACGTTTGAAAATTTAGAATGATTTTGTGAAGTCGGAACAAACTTTAGTGTCTGTGCCATGAAACGAAGGAGAAGAAGACAAACATTATTTTAAACGTTTATTCTTGGATATACTGTTAGCTGAGAGGCTTTAAATTTTAGAATATACAATAAGAATCATTTCCTGAATTCATTATTCATCGTATATTGAATTTATTTAATTCCGTCGTTAATGGATGTGAAGGCGGAGGATTTACCAACGAGTAATGAGAATGGTGGGAGGCCAGTGGGAAGATAATCCCCACCGACTTTAGTGTACGTTGTGAAATGCTTCTCCTAGGCCCACTCAAACAATTCTGCTTTTGTCTGAAATTGTAGAACAATAAGTTGGTATAGAGAGACATTTTGCTTCCTTTTGTGTCAACGGACGTTTGAGTGGGCGTGTAACTGAATCTCATTTCTTTGTTGTTGGCATCATCTGTTACAGGCGAACAAGACGTCCCATTCACGATAAGTGCCATGTGATAAAGTGTATCACATTATACTTCAGTCAGCATTTGAAATATGGAACCATGGTACTTGTTTTTCGATATTACAGTCTCCTACTTTCATACCTTGCAGATGAAATCTGGCACCTGGTGGAAACAATCATATATTTTTATTCCTTCTTTGTATTCATTGCATAAAATGAATGCATAATGGAGGTCACACACAGTTCTTGTCCGTCAGCTTGTTCCACATCCTCCCAGCTCCCAGGAACTGCATAAACTATGTGATATTTAAAATAAATATGATGAAGAACATGTTAGGAAAATGAGAATTTTATTTATGTTTTATGAGTCGGAATCAGAAAATAACTGTATACAGAATGCCCCAAACATTATAATACGGGATGCTAACAATGTTATTCATCTGAGTGTGTTGTGCTTGCGAGGGGAGCTAGTGGTGGTTATTTTGAGCACCTGCACTAATTCACTAATTTCCTTTGCTGACGTGTGTAAGTTTTCAGTTCAATAAAAAGTCTTTATTTTATTCATTGAATATTTTTACGCATATTTTGGTACATGCTAAAAATGACCCCGTGCGTTATTTATATTTACATTTTGGATGTATGAATGATTTCTCATCAGTACCAGACGACCAGCCACGACATACCCACAAGCTTTATTCAAACATACGTTGTGTTTGTTGAAAGCATGGCATATATCTGAGGTCATGTCTCCAAAACATCAGAAGATAAAGTTTGTTACGATCTTGTCCAATCGCCTTGGTCAAAAGTGAAGGATATAGTAATTAATTATCAGGCTTAGGAGGCATACGGGGGCATTGAAGTAATGTTTAACACATACTGTGTAGAACAATAAGTTGGTATAGAGAGACATTTTGCTTCCTTTTGTGTCAACGGACGTTTGAGTGGGCGTGTAACTGAATCTCATTTCTTTGTTGTTGGCATCATCTGTTACAGGCGAACAAGACGTCCCATTCACGATAAGTGCCATGTGATAAAGTGTATCACATTATACTTCAGTCAGCATTTGAAATATGGAACCATGGTACTTGTTTTTCGATATTACAGTCTCCTACTTTCATACCTTGCAGATGAAATCTGGCACCTGGTGGAAACAATCATATATTTTTATTCCTTCTTTGTATTCATTGCATAAAATGAATGCATAATGGAGGTCACACACAGTTCTTGTCCGTCAGCTTGTTCCACATCCTCCCAGCTCCCAGGAACTGCATAAACTATGTGATATTTAAAATAAATATGATGAAGAACATGTTAGGAAAATGAGAATTTTATTTATGTTTTATGAGTCGGAATCAGAAAATAACTGTATACAGAATGCCCCAAACATTATAATACGGGATGCTAACAATGTTATTCATCTGAGTGTGTTGTGCTTGCGAGGGGAGCTAGTGGTGGTTATTTTGAGCACCTGCACTAATTCACTAATTTCCTTTGCTGACGTGTGTAAGTTTTCAGTTCAATAAAAAGTCTTTATTTTATTCATTGAATATTTTTACGCATATTTTGGTACATGCTAAAAATGACCCCGTGCGTTATTTATATTTACATTTTGGATGTATGAATGATTTCTCATCAGTACCAGACGACCAGCCACGACATACCCACAAGCTTTATTCAAACATACGTTGTGTTTGTTGAAAGCATGGCATATATCTGAGGTCATGTCTCCAAAACATCAGAAGATAAAGTTTGTTACGATCTTGTCCAATCGCCTTGGTCAAAAGTGAAGGATATAGTAATTAATTATCAGGCTTAGGAGGCATACGGGGGCATTGAAGTAATGTTTAACACATACTGGGGATACTGAGATACTGGGAACGACCCATCTTCAAGTGCCTGAGCACTGCAGGTCCCAACTTTTCGTTGGCTTTGATCTATAGACATTCGATAGGACTCCTTGGACAAGGGATCGGCCCGTCGCAAGGCCTCTACCTGTATACAGGACAGCACAACACAGAAAAACGCGGACAAACATCCATGGCTTGAGTGGGATTCGAACCCACGGTCCCAGCGACCAAGCGGCACAAGACCCACGCCTCAGACCGCGCGGTCACTGCGGACCCCTGTTGAACACATTCTACTTTGAAATTAGATTACGTTGCCTGTTTCAGGCTCCGACCGCATTGTCCTAGAATAACGTGTCTACGTACCCCAGGTGGTGGGTTCTCCCAGAGGTGGTCTGGGCGCTGTGGCGGTGGGAAATGCCTTGCTTCAGCCGGGAATTAAACCAAAGCCCGTAGTCCAGTCACTACCGACTGACTAATATAAACAAGAATTTGATTCCAGAGTTAGGGCCGATGTTGTTGATGGATTGTGTCCACCCCTAGTTTTGTATGTGATGAATTACATTTTTGTTCGTAAAAAAAAATAACATCCAAACCTTAGATAATCTGTACGTTAGCTTTGCTACCGGGCTGAGGCCGTTGTGAGCTGTTAACAATAACAGAAACAATGAAGAATGGCACTCGGTTCAAGTGCTCTAGAAGGTATTTAAATGACACCACTTTTTCACAGAAACATCGAGAGTTTTATTACGTTATCAATATGTCAAACACAATGGCCACCCGTGCTAGACAGAAGACAATAGAGTGACGTCTCCACTCAAGCATCAGCAGCACGCGTCTTTGTTTCAGACGGAGAATGGCGTTTAGAAGCAAGAGTGGCATAAACCATCCCTGGCTAGTGCGTTCTTACAGAAGGCAAAGTCAGATTTACCAAACACGGGGTAATATCTTTGAAGATCACAGAAAACAACGTTTGTCACAATTAATCGATAAGCAGATAAATTCTGAAAACGTCCATTACTATATTTGGTCGATTCGTCTGTTAATAAGGAAACGTTAAGCGATTAATATTCAATGCCAGGTTGAAATTTAGCTTGAAAAGTAATGCACATTAGCCCAGAATCACCATTTTTTTAACTTAATAAATAATCTTGCTTTAAGCATATCTGCTGACCTCTTGTATTTTTTACTTTAAAGCTCCAAGAATATTTTTTCCAAGGTATTAGAAATGGAAAGGGTTTATTTATTTATTAGCCAGGACAGACGTTCCTGTTCTCAGTTATAAAAAATGTTTTTATTATATATGAAGATAATATTTCCGAACATTGAGGCATTATTTGAATTGAATGCTTAAACAAGTGTTAAAATACTAATAATTTAAATGTTAAAATAACCGAATCACACCTTCAGATGATTTGAGTACTACACTCGATAGAATTACATAAATCACACTTATATAGTAATGACATTCTGTAAAGTATAATAGGCGACTCAAATATTTCTAGGTATGAATAAATTATTTTTACATTTTAAAATTTAGTATTTTAATACTTCAACAAATATTAATTTCAAATAAAGTCGCAGAGTCCAACTTTATCTTCAGTTTAACTTTTTGTAATGATTGTGTGCCTCCTGATGATGGTCATAAGAGTGGCCGAAACATACTGTGAGTGTATGTAATGCGTAATTAGTGTGCAAAGTAATTATTACATAGCAGAATTATGCCCTAAATAATGTCCTTGCGGTCTCCGTTAGTACTTCGTATTTTTCCGATGTGCATACTGAATCATTATTTTTAATTGAATATTTTTCATCAAATTTACTTATTTTTAAAATTATTTGCTTATGCATATATTTTGTTTTCATTGGTGCCCGATGACGTCACCTCGATAAGACGGGATACGTGTATATGATTTAAGTATGACTGTCATCCTTAGTTCTTGTCAGTTTTCACGTGAAATTTTCGCCGATATAGACTATTGTCGTAGTTCGCAGAACATACATTTTGACAACGTGATTTCAGTGCATTGAATGAAGAAACTTAGTTCATTTTTAAATGTGCGATTCTGCAAACATGTTGACAACAAGAATTGTCATTTGGATGTCGACCGACGAAATTGAAGAGAATAAATTTCTGGTGCCAGTGTAAAGGAACTGTAAATCCAAAAATAACAACGGAAATTTGATTACTTTTTTACATTACCTATAATTTAGCAAAACTGCCGCTTATGTTTCTGTTTAAATTGCATAATCATATTTGTAAGCCCACTTACTCTTGTACCAACGAAATATGCACAGAACGTTAGACATACAAACCGTAACATTTGAACGAAATTACCCGTTGGATTTAAAATAATAAAGAATAAGAACATGGAATGTCTAATTTTGGGGTATTATTTATTCCGGCTATCATTTGGCTATCTCTTAATAGCAGATTTATCCATTTTTTTAACAGCGTAGATACTTACGTTATTCTTCTGTGCCTTGCGTAAGTTGCACTTACATAACTAATAACACTTCTTTTTGTTATTTTGATGGAATATGTGCTTGCATATAATTTGTTTATTTAATTAAATAAAACCTTAGCTTAATCTTATATTGTTTACTCTCAATACCGATTATTCGTTTGTTCCATTTTCTGTACGATATGTAAACTCTGTGTTGGAATCACCCTGTCTTATTTAGTTTCTCTTGTTCCCACGCTGTCTCCTCGTGTATTTAGAGTGTACAGAACGCACCCAGCAGACTGCTGCTGAACTAGAACGCAAAGTTACTGTCGTTTGTTTTTCTCGCTGGGAGAGTAATAGCAGTGTGAATGTCTTCGTGTTGAAGGACAAATCAGTTTCGATACTTGTGCGTCGCCTTTAGGTGGTATAAATATGTGCGTTGTGAGTTTTAATTCGTAAATAAGGTCTCCTGGATTTCTTTCCTGTAGTATGTCAACAACTAAAACAAACTTGCATGTTTTCGATTTGTAATCTAACCAGTAACATATTTAGGTGTATTGTCAATGCAGTTTGCTACAGTACCCCATTATTAGTACAGTGAACTGTGTGTATCCACCAAGTTGTCTGTTTAAATAAATCATTGCTTTGGTTATTTACTGTGAATTTTGTATCGGTTTAGTTCAGTGTTATCGTGCGTCTGTAAACTGTTACGTTGTTTTGTGTTGTGAAGAAACGTATTCTTTAACCACATTCTTGTGTTTGTCAGACTGCTTATTGCATTGCACGGTTTGGCAGAAGTTGTTCACCGCATCATGTGACACGCTGTGGGCGTCGGTGAGTAGAAAATCATTATCTCCCCCTCTATGTAAGAGATAGTCAAATAGACGTATATGTTTATATCACGATGACCAGTTGAGACCTACAATTATTTTCTGTTTTGCAACTGTTTCGATGTTTTTTTTTGTACATCTGCTGACTGGAATTTTGACTTCGCTTTGCAAAACACAGTCAACCTCGTTGGAACAGGCCTTTTCCTTAACCATCTTCTGTTGCGTTGTGACACATTCATCGATTTGGAATAGTTTACGTTGGTGGTAATATACAATTTTAAATAAAACCCACAAGCTTTTCAGTGACGGAATATGTGGTTTCATAGGTCAGAAATTTTGATGTTTACTTGATTAATTGTATTGAAGTTTGCCTGAGCTTTACCAGACAAGACCAAGAGGAAAATGTGATATGATAGGAAATTTTTATTTATCTTTAATGTTGCTAACT